GGAATATATACTTCTGGATCAGTAAGATTCATGTGAAGTCATTAAAGAGGCATCAACAGAATTATGCTAACATTCTTCCAGCAGAAAGGGAAACTAGGATGATACTTTCAGTTTATATGCAAATAAAGAGTATACATATATGTAGTCAACAGAAGTTACAAAGTATACCCAACACAGACCTTTTTGAATTACTGTTGCAAGGAAAAAAACATCAAGTAGCAAGCTAAGGATGCACCAAGTTCTATTTTCTTTCACAATTAGGTGCAGAAGCTTGCATTCTAGCAAGCATGCCAGTTAACCTACAAGACAATGTTTGATAAAAGATTTAAAGCATTTACCTTTTCTAGAGCTGTTCTGACTCTTTTTAGTAGTGCTACTATCTGCCTTCTTGACATTCGCACTCTTCACAGCTTTCTTGGTTTTGGAACTATTCTTTTTAGATCTTTCTCTTCTAGATGCTTTTCTAGGAGGCTATGACGAAGAAAACCAGAAGATTAAAATTATGGTGTCTACCCAAACAATACATATCTCTTTCCCACAATAGAAATTATTCTTCCTGTCAATACAAACTAAATCAGCAAATTTAATTACTGAGTTTTATTAGCAATTTCTAGCTGTATACTACAGGGTCATTATGTCTATAAACAGTACTCCTACATTCTTTTAGATTTCACATTATCCTTGCAATGGACTCATAAGCTTAAGCAGTGAGAACTTTCTGATGGTACTAGTAGTTTGGTTGTGCTACAGCTTTCTATTTGTAATTATTTATAATTAGCTTATTAAATAATTTTAAAGATTTAACTTTTAATGAGTTAAAACTAAAATTTTTCAACTTTTCAGCTTTTGAGTTTCTGCTAAAGCTTAATCACCAGGTACAAAGTCAGAAGACAAACCCAGGACTCACATTTCAGTTTCTTATAAAATTATACTCCCCAAGCACACAAAAGTATTTCAGATATCTTTTGCTTCCAGGTAGCTAAGATTTTTTGTATTGTTGTCCTGGGTTCAGCTGTAACTGTTATTTTTTCTCCTTCCTCGTAGCTGGTGCAGTGCTGTGTTTTCAACTTTAGTCCAAGAACAGTGCTGATAACACACCAATGTTTTTAGCTGTTGCTAAGTAATGCTTACTCCGATCAAGGACTTTTCAGTCTCTCATGCTCTGACAGTGAGGAGGAGCACAAGAAGCCAGGAGGAAGCAGAGACAGGACACCTGACCCAAACTAACCAAAGGGGTATTCCATACCACAGCACGTTATGCCCAGTATATAAACTGGGGAGAGTTAGCCAGAAGGTCCAGATTGCTGACTGGGTATCAGTTGGCAGGTGGTGAGCAATTGTATTGTGCATTACTTGTGTAAGTAAAAGGGGAAATCCCTTTAGTTTGATAATCTCTTCCCTTGTTATTTCCCTTATCATTATTATTATTGGTGGTAGCAGTAGTAGTTTTGTATTGTACCTTAGTTACTGGACTGTTCCTATCTCAACCCGTGGGGTTTACATTCTTTCAATTCTCCTCTCCATCCCTCCGGGAGCAGGGGGGGTGGAGGGGAAGAAGAGAGGGAGGGAGGGAGCAGCTGCGTGCTTCCGGGTTACCAGCTGGGCTTAAACCACTAAAATTGTTTAAAGGAAGAGCTGCAATCAAAAAGACACACAAGTAAGGCCAATCTACTCCAGCCACTCCATGTGCAGGATTCCCACATGCTGACGCAGCAATGCTTTGATGCTTACATCCTTCCACCTGTAGTATGTTAAAGGGTGCCATAAACCTAACCATTTTTTTTTAAATGCTGCAATCTTAAAGCTGTACAAATGTAGACATTTTCCATTTCACCATTTCCTACATTCAGACTAATTCGACATACTAATGTCCTTGTAATACTTAAGCTTTTATTTTATGTAATTCAGCTTCAGCTTCCAAAGACTTCAGTCTGCTCAACTATTGCTGAGCACTTTGGAGATCGCAGGGATCTTTGTTAGGCTGCTTATTATGTTGCTCACTCTATCTTTGTGATCCAAGACACAAAATCCTAAAAAAGATACTAGAACATGAAATCCAGGAGAAATATGGAACCAAAACCAATGTAGCTAGGTGGGTCAGAGAAATTTACTGAATTCAAACTTAAGTCATAGGTATCCAATCAAACCCTACACAGAAAAAAACAGACATAAATAGATAGATATTGGGAATTTTTATGAAACTACAATAAAGTCATCACAGATGATACAAGAAATGCAATCAATTATGTCTGAAATCCTGGCTACTCCAAAATGACATAGAGCAAATGGTTTTATGAGGTGCATACATATATTCAAGAATCAGAACCTTCACCTTTTATCTTACTGATTCTCTAACACACAAAGAAATTATGAAACCTTCTTACAAATTGCAGATGTTCCCTTTTCTTTTAAACTATTAATTCAGTTAAACATCACTTATCCCCCAACTGTGTTACCATTCAGTAACAACCACATTATGACAAATCACAGACAAATGTTTTTAACCCTATGTTGAAAAACAAACAAAAAAACCTCATTACCTCATCTTCACTTTCTTTGTCTTCTGAAGAGTCATCCTTTCCTTTCTTTTCATCTTCTTCACTACTGGATTCATCTGACAAGATCTCTGGACACTTGGTGCGTTTCGCTTTTCTTGTTGTTCCAGTGCTACTGCGTTCTTTTTTGCCACCTTTGCTTGGTGTTTTTTTGGACTTTGGCAATGGCTGAGAAACAAGGATGTGTGTAATCCGAGTATGAATATAAAAGTGAATTTTAAAAATATAAATTACTGAAAATTACATGAAAGAACAGTAAACAAATATAGTGTCTCTAAGTCTTGGTAACAAAAGCCAGGACTATTTTATATACTAAACTTAAGCCATAACATTTTGTAGTACACAGAAATTCACTGCAGAGATAGAGCTGAGTAAAATGAAATTTTAATTCTAAGCTAAGCACCCCTTCCACTCCCCTAACCAAACAAATCTTCAAAGGTTGGGGGTTAGGGAAGCAAGAAAAGCAATCTAGCAGGAACCGTTTACCTACCTATGCCCTCCCAACCCATAAAAGCACACTTTTTTCTAGTAACAAATTAGCTGACAACTCTTCTGAAGACTTAAAGGCAGGAATTCTGCCATGTTTTATGCAAAACTGCATTTTGCTGTCACTAAGTACCAGTGTACCTAAGTCAGCATGCCGAACCTCCTGAGCAACAGTCTAACTATTCAAGTATAGCTTTTAGATTAAAAAGTGAAACCCCAAGACTAATAGAATTTCGTAGTCTTGGCAGCTGAATCTAGTACACAAGCACATACTAGTTAAAGTTTTCTTAGCATTGCAACAAATTTCATTTTGTGATGACCAAATGTGATCACATTCACTTGCCAACTTGTAGCATACCCAGATAACATCCAACTGCTTATTCTCCTGTCCTTTGATGTTTTATTTCCTTGCTCTAACACCTTTTTTTACTTCCTTTCCTGTTCACATATTATGTTTAGTCCCCTCTATTCATCCACAAAGCAGAAGCATTGGTTTTTGGGTATAGGTACCTGTAATTATCTTCCTGTGTTGATCACATACACTTATGTGCACTAACAGTGTATAACAGATGCACTTACATATAGCATCTAAGCTCGCACCCCATTGTAGATGCCTGCAGTAATAGAACTAATCTCTTTCAAGAGCTACACTGCTACTTCAGTAGGTACAACAGTAACTGCATTGCCACTGGTAACATGCAAATATCAAGCCATAAAGACAGCTGTACTTTCCATCAAAACAGAGCTGTAAAAGTGAGTGTAACAACCTGCATCTCACCTTGCCTGAAGATTTTGGGTGCATTAAGAAGTTTAAGATTCTGGTTACGAGCTCGCTATTAACACCTGATCTTTCCAAGTCAAGAACTTCACAGATACTTTTCAACATTGCATTCCTAAATCTAGAGAGGGAGAAGGAAAAAAAAAAAAATAAATATCAGTATCACATCCTAAACAATCAGTCAACATTTGACTCCTTGAAGCTGCTATCTGGTTTGTGTCTGCAACTGAACAATAGATATGCATTTATACACTTAACTACATTTCCAGTCTTACCTATACTTAAGCAAAAAACCACCACCACATTACATAAAGCAAAATAAAACAAAATCCCAAATCCACATGTGTGTAAAGTAGGATATATAAAAAAAAGTCATAAAAATCTTAGGGTGGAGGAGGAAAATCTTCTCCAGCATCTCTCCTAACCTACCACATTGGAAAGGACCAATCTTGAGACAATAAATCCAGTGGCTGCAAGACTTGAACTCTAAAGGGACTGGGGAGGGCGGAGGGTGTGTGTGTCTCCCTTAATTTTCTCTGTTTTTTCTCCCCCTTATGGAAGTACCTTTGATGAAGATACAAGGTTAAGAGAAACTCTGACATTTACCCCCCTTCAAGAACCAAAAGGATCTTGAACCAATTGCTCCACTTTGTTATTTGTTCCACTGGTATGGAAAATGGAAAGACAGCCAGATCCTGTGAGAGTACAGCATCAGAATAGATTTAATGAGATTTTAAAAACAAAACCAAAAAAACCCCTACTTACTATACCTGTTACCTGCCTTCAAATGCTTATACTTTCCTCTTTATCCATTTTGTACAATGCTGTCTGAAAAGTGGACTTTGTTGTCTGACCATTTTTCGCAAGTTTAATAGCTATTTCTGGCAATCAAATTAACAGGAAACATTTTTTATTGTTCATTTAAAAAGTCAGTGCAGCTATTTCATGGTGGTCTACAACTTCCCTAAAGTAGCATTTAATTTCAGACTGTCCATTTAAACTCACAGACTTTTAAGGGGGCAGAACAACTTTGTTCTCCTACATTTTGGGACATGGGAAGAGGAAATCTTAACTGGTTTGATGCATCTCCCAGCCTCAACGTACAGGTCATCCACCATCCTTCCAACAGTGAAATAAAATCTTTAAATCATTTTTCTAGACAAGTTTATAAAAAAACTTGTGTGATCTTAATGTGTGGAGAGCCTTCCTGTTTAGCTTCTGGGCATACACTGAGTACTTGTAAGGTATTCCTGCAAAATCAGAGTCAGTCTCTTGCATTTTGAAAGACAATAATACTACAGAGTTAAAGCAAGTTAACTTGTTAAGAGATTTTAAAACTGCATAGTGCCGAAGTTTCTGTTTCAGACTTTCAAGACCTTGTATACTGAATTTAGGATTTTATGGTTCTATTGCTGCTTTAAAGAAAAATGCTTACAACTTGTGCTACACATGGCATTTGGCCTTATATTTTTTTCAAATTTGTAATACTTTGAAGGTACATCTGCAGGTAACAGCAAACATGATGTCCTAAGTATAAAAATGCAGTTCTAATGCGGAATAAAGAAGTGCATGTTGAGTTCTGAGTCAGTAACTTTCACAGCAAGTATTTTTGACTTATGAAATACAGGAACTCTAATCCACACATCAACCTCAACCCTCATTCGTTTTAATTTACAACCAGAACAGTAAGATTCTGCAAAATAAATTTTGTTCTTTGTTCACCTCGTTCAATGCTGTTAAAACATGATGACACGCAAGTGTACAGTGTGGGGAGAATCAACCACATAGAACAAATTAATAATCTAATCAGCAGCATCTCATACTCATCTATGAACAGCAGCAGAATTTAACACAGTAATGCAGGCATGCAGGGCTTCATGCAACAACTAGGTTTCAGAGTATTTGCTGAAGAGTGAAGAGTAACAAAACTTAACTAGCAGTTTCTTCATATTGAAAATACAAAAAAAAAAAAAAAAGTACAAAAATCTTTTGTGACCTTCTGCAGATAAGGTAAAACATTATCCAATAAAAGCAGGGGGAAACAGTTAGAATTCCCATCCTGAGACAGAGTTTGTCTTGTAGGTTCACATGTATTTGACAAACCCTAGTCCTAGGAAATTATGTATCTTGCAATTGCAAAATTTGCAAGAAAATTGCAAAAAGGGAGACTTGCAAATTTTTAATTCTGGAAGCCTTCACACTATCAACAAACTGACACTAAAAAACAATTTAGAATCAATTGGGTAGAAGTTAGGAGTTCTTTTGATACTAGTTTGGGGTTTTTTTCGTAACAATTAGGTGCACAGATATGCCAGGGCATTTTAAAACCCTTTCAGACCAGTAAAAAAAAAAAAAAAAAAAAAAAATTCAGACCAGTAAAAAAAAAAAAAAAAAAAAAAAAATCAAGCTGCAGCAGCTTCTCCTGTTAATAGAAGAGCAGCTAATGTGGGGACACAGTAGAAAAAGAAATATTGACAGACTAGTTGCTACAGCAATTCTAGGAATAAGACTATGTTTAATACATGATAAGCAGAAATGGCTTTGATTCTGAAGGAGGAAGGTTTTGTGGCACAGAAGGATGCAAGTTTGCACCATGAATAGGGCACAATGTATTTGCAACACTATGCCTGCCCTGGGGAAATAATGTTTTCTTCTCACTTCGCAGAAAAATCTGCTAGTTAGCATGTAATATTTAAAGTCAGGACTGTAGGTACTGTGAATAAAATGTGCACAACTCAGTTCTTCTTAATGCATTTCAGATCATCTTTAGAGACCGGTTTGTGTGATAAAAACGAGCTCAGAAACAGATCATAGAGCTCTAGAAAACAGCCGTTCAATGTAAAATGATGTTTAATCTGAAGTAAAATTTTGAAAACAAAAAGGAGTGTATAGCATGAGTCAAGATATGATAAGAAGCAATAATTACTTTTTTAACATTTCTTCCTTCTTTTTGTATTGGTCACTTCCTTTTTCGAATGGGAACCCACTGAACTGACCCACATTCTTCTTTAGGGACGCAACCTGGAACAGAACAGAGATTACTTTCCAATGCAAGTACTTTCAAAAGATTTCATCCAATTACATGTCAACTTTCCATACAAATCTAACGTTTAGCTTTCTGTTGACAAAAAGTTATACCCTTTAAGTGATAACCTACATGCCTTTATTTATGTCAAGACAGCCATACTACAAAAAATTTACTAGCATGCTAGCATGGATCTGTACTAGTAGTATTCAGTTTCTGGTTTCTGTGCTAGCTGTTCAGATTTCCAAAATACAGAGATTAAAAGTACGAAGTTTTTGTGATCTTGGTAAATAATTTCCTAGGTAAAAATCATCTGCCATTTCAAGCTTGTTTAGAATGTATTCCATGATTATTCACAGGTTTGCACAAATATGAACATGTAGCCTGTTGCATACTTCGCACCATGAAATTTGTTACAGAACAGTGAATTTTATTTTTACTATATAATCTGCTAAAGCAGATTTGCTTTACTTGCTTTTCTGAAGTCTTACATCAGACCATGATTAAACTTTGGAACCTTTTCTTTGGCATGACCAATTTTTGCATTCACATACCACCCAGTTTACAACTTCTACCATTATACCTGCAGTCTGAACAGGGTTGAACTTTCATTGCAAAGCCCTTACAATGGGAAAATTGCTCCCATCAAAATACAAAATACATCAAGTTCTTTGTTTTCACTCTATCTTTTTACCAAAAAAGAAGTTAAAAAATATCCCCAAATCTTTCATTCTTCTGAGACTTTTAACACTATCAAGAATAATTTGAACTCACTTTCAACAGTTCTACAAATTTTGTTCCTGGTGTTTCTCCATTAGTTTATAATTTTACCAAAGCTAAGCTCCTTTTTCCAAAGAGAATTATCTTTGTCCAGCACCTAGAGAAAATTTGCAGATGGTATTGGTATGGTTTATTAAGAATGTTAATCGTGATCCAAAGCACATACAGAACGTGCATACAAGACAACATCTCATCTTCACTATGTTAAACAGCATTCTGAGTTCCCAACAATTCCAATTAAATACAGTTTTGGATGAAACCATACTGATTTATTTCCAAGAAAATAAATATATTTTCATATCTTTGGACTCAAACCACTGGCAAGCTGCAGCAATCCAGCTGGACTTTCCAACAAGTCTATGAACAAAGGACTAAATGTGGGAAGGCAAGGCAAAGTGTGGGGGGTGTGAGGTGGAAATGTAATCAAGTGGTATAGGAGAGAAGGGCGAGAGCTGTATTTCAACAGCGACTACGTCTAATTAATACGATTTAGGAGTGTCAAGTGTCAATTTACACCATTTGCACATAATTATGAAACTGCAAATAGATGTTTTTATTGATTATTATTAATACTAAAACAATTATTAATAGCAGTTGTTAGTTTCTTCATAGTGTGTCACCAATCTGCAATCTGAAGTGGGAAAGATGGATTCAGAGGTTATGGTATCCCAGTATCTCCACCCAAAGATGGTAGGATGGTTTCATAAAGGGTAAATGGATGCAATTTGACAACTTTTATAATAAAGGAGTTAAATCAGAAAGTTACATGGTTCTGCCATGGTACCCTCCCTATGAAACAATTAAATTCTACTGCAGGACAATCCAAAAGTTTGCAAAACTTTGTATGCACTAATTCTAGACTCTAGTCTAGTTTACTGCCATAATGAATAAATAGTATAATTCACAGAAGTAGGTTTAATATAGTGAATATATGCTGTTCTTTTTCTGAATACTTGAGGCAACAGATCTTTCTTTGCCATTTAAACAAGCATTGCATTAGCAGCAGTGGTCCAAGATATTACTAGCATGCACCTATACTAGTAATTTTCAGTTCTTCATTTCTGTGCTAGCTGTTCAGGTTTCCAAAATGCACATAATTTTTAACTAATATTTTAATCATCTTAGATAAATGTACCAAAAATCACTATTAAGATTTTACATATAATGTAGTTTTACTTTCTACTGCTATATGCAAACTAAAGGAGAAAATTACTAGGTCAATAGCAATGTATTAACATGGTTCAAACATCAAAGACATAGAAGTACTAAGAAAAAGCTATGTTCAACAAAATAACTACATGGAGTATTTTGACCATTATCTGCGTGTCAGCAACTAACAGCATGTGAACCATAAAGTATTTCCAGCTCATCCTCATGAGGTAAACCACTCCTCCTCCCATTAAAATAAAATAAAAATCAAGAAATATGCATTCAAGCAGACTTACAATTCAGTACACCCTTCCACAGGATGCTTATAGGGAGAGTAGTTTACAGGAGTTAGAAAAATTAAAGGCTTGTTTAACTGGTCCTGCAATATTAATTTTCTACGTAGTCTGTAATAAACGACACTTATGAAGTAGATCCCCATGTGCAGATATAAGAAGCTATAATAAAACATTTTCACTATGCATGAGAAATAATAGATAGAAGATTGTTTTTAAGTTCTTACAGTGCCTGGCCTGTTGTAGAGGAGTTTGTGTAGGTTCCTAAGTTCGTCTGTCTTCTTTTTACTCAGAAAGTATTGTATCCTTTCAATTTCACAGAGTTTTTGTCCTTTTCCTGAAACAATTAAAATCAATTATGCTATTCATCACATTCCTATTTTTCTGTGTGTTCATAACTTCAAATCTCTACTGTTTTGTTAAAAAAACAAAGAAGTTATTAAGCAGGCCTCTTCCTACCAATTAGGCATCCTGAGAGTCTCTTTATCTTCCTTACTTGATAGTACCTAGACCAGCGTACAAGGACCTGACATTTACTTTTTATTCTAGCTGCTCCTGCCTTTGTTAGCGGTGGCTAGGTACTGAAGATCCTATTCCAGGTAAGCGTAAACGTTATCAAACTTCTACAGTTTAAATTGATGTTGCAGAATAAAAGTGGGTTTTTGTATAATTGTAACATCCTTATTATTTTGAATTGGATAATGACTCTTAGGTTAGGTCTCATCTACAACAAATCAGTAATTTGATCTTTTAAGAGGTTTCATTATCACTCCCAACACTCACAATTCTTATGTGAAAGGACAAGCTTACCTGGTGTAACTGTAAAAGGTTCCTTCTGCAATGAGGACACTTGCATGGTCAGTCGGTCAACCTTCTTTTTCTCCCTTTTCCCTTCAACAATTAGACTCTTTTCTGCAAAAGACAGCTTCCTTAAACATAGTATTTTTCATCACATTAGCAGATTTGACTGTAGTGACAAGAAATACAACACCAAATTTTTGACATGGCAAACCCAAAATGGATAATGATATAACCAGCCACTTTGACACTTTCAAACCTTTGACCAACAGGTCAATGGGATTCTATGGAGCTCTGTGTGTGTGTACATATGTAACTAGAGGAGTCTCTAGTTCTTAATCACAGTCCTGTACCCAACTTAACCTACACACAACAGCTCCACTTCAGCTTTCTTGGGGAGAACACTACCACCAAATGGGCAAAAGGAGAATCCGACGTGCCTGCAGACACTTTCTCTTCCAACTACTGGACTGGAGATGCCACACATATCAGCAGGAAACGCAGAAACACAAGATTAGTGGGCCTGTACTACATCTCACGGGGCTACAGTGTGACACTCTGCAGGGCACAATACAAGTGTCACAAATACTACAAGAATACTACTCCCAGTAATTCTGATACTGTTTAGCAATGAAGACATTGGTTTATGTATATGCTGCACATCATCACTTTAATGAAGCCATGTCAGGAGAAAAATCCAAAGCTTGACCTAAACATTTCATACTAAAACACCTGATCTCAAATCAAACTATCCTCAGCACTAAATATATGGGCTGTCCTGGGTTTAACATGTGTAGCAGATTCAAAATCTGTATGAACATAATCAAACCTGGATATGTATCTGCTGAAAACAGAACAAAACGTATTTGTGTGTACACAAGAAACAGTTGTTTCTAAAATCCTAATTCTAATTACTCTATTCAAACAGCATATTCCCTTTTCTTTCTACTACCTTTCCTAAAGACAAGCTTCAGCTCTTTTAAGAATCCAAGACCATGAGTGACTTGGTTTTCACTATGTCATACAGCAGCTCTATTTCCATGGATGCTTTTATTTGCAGAACAGGTGCCCAGATATTTCATGATGGAAATTAACATTTTTGCATAGTAGTTCCTTCATCGTATCTTGTATTCCTTGACTATCTTATTCAATTACATGCCACAATACAAAACTGCCTTGCTTGCTTATCTACAATATTGCTATGATTTATATTGTCAAAATTAGTCAAATGGAATATCCCCCCTCCAGTATCATTAAATTTTGGTAACCAGTAAATTAATCCATAATAGTTAAGCAAAGACATCTGTATTGTTTCCAAAGCTATGACACAGATTTTTGAAGTGTCTCTCTTTTGCAAACATGAATCACTTCGGAGTGTTACTGGCAAAAAAGATATTTTTTTTTGGATATGCATTTTTATACAGATAATTTCATAAACGATGCTACCTATTTCAAGCATCTAGAAGCTTATACAACAACAAACCACCCCCAAAATCCTAGTGTAGGAACCCATGATGCTGACAATTCATTCAATCTTTCCTGAAGAACAAGAGCATTGCTGTTCCTAGTGTCACCTGTTACAGTCTACCATGGAATCTCCTAAACCGTAATAGCACAATTAGCTGAAATTACAGGAGAATGCATTCAGTAAGCTTGGCATTTTTTAAAGGACAACTTATTCAGTGGAAAAACAAGTACCCTTTTCCTCCTCCTCTTCCTCCTCCTCTTCTTCCTCCTCTTCTTCATCACTTTCCTCAGCTTTGCTTTCAGGTTCAGGTTGTTTCTCATCTACTTTTTCAGACGACATTGTATCTTCTTTTGATGAAGCAACAGAAGACATGGTGTATGGTTCTGTAAAAACAAGTCAGGGAAACCACCATCAATACAGCATTACAGATGATAAATACAAGAAACTTACTTTTTTTAAAAACATTTTCTATGGTGTAAGTGATGTCACAGTGCTCATATCGCGATTGTTCACATTCTTTAAGACACTACAGCATTCTGCATACACATAATGTTGCCAGAAGTAGTTGCCATCCATTCTGCAACTAGCCTGATTAAGGACAGTTTAAAAGATGATAAATTCTTCCTGCACACAAGTCTTTGTGAAGCATTCGGAAACACCCACTCATAGCAGCAGATGCTGTTATCTATTGAGAACTGTAATGTTTTAAGGTATTTTAGTGCATCGTATTATAAACTGAATAGTTATTTCTGATCATGGTTAACTATGTACACCAATTTCCTAATAAGTTGAACAAGCTACATATTTAGAAGAGAAATGAGAACAGAAGGATAAAAAGAAGTTATGAGCAATTTGGAAAAAATTAACACTGCTTTCAAAATTCAGATAGCTGAGACATCTCAGGGTATGAAAATGCTTTCTGGCTTTAATCTGTAGATCTACAACAAATAAGAATAAATGCTTCATAGTCAGGGTGTTTAAGAGGAGTCTTTTCTTAGCATCTGAAGTGACTTAAATGTTAACTTAAAAATTTAAATATCTCACTTTGGCAAGTACCATTTCCCTACTGACAGAGAATGTCTATCTAACAAAGGAAGATAACCATATCTGTTAATACAAAATAAAATAATCTAGCTTTCAGAATCTTTCACTGTTTACAGACCTGAAACAAAATATAGCATCAGTTGTATAAGCCCTTGTGGAAAACATATCACTTTCTTTTTCCAATATTATAAAGCCAATATTATCTGTAACAGGTTAAACTGAATGAACAATTAAATCAACTGCTTATATGCAATATTAGCAGGTGCCAGAGAAGAGCAATACTTCAAATGTCAGAAAATATGAGTTATATTACCAATAGGGAGGTGAAAAAGAAAGTTTTTTACTATTCTTTGCTAAATCCCTGTTGGGGGGATGAGGAAGGGGAAAGAATTAAATCTCTTTCAGGGTACTATTAACCAGTATTTGACACGGAAAATTAACCCAACTTTTTCATTATATAACTCTGAATTATAATTGTCTGCACAAGTGAAAGACCAAGCGAAGAACTACAAGTTGTCTTTCCTTGCCCTTTCAACGAGGGCAGAAGGGGAATAGGAAAATTAAGTGGCTTTTTAGCGTTTCCAGCAACCAGGTCCGTGAGGACGACTTGCTTAGTGAAAAAGTGATCCACCCTTAGGAAGGCTTTAGCTGGGGATATTTTCGGACGAAGAGGGTATCTCGCAATCCGCCCCAAGGATAATTGTGCACAACAGCACCTCCCACCCTCATCCAGCACTTTTCAGACACGGACTTGCCACCTGTGCCTTTCCCTCGCCGGAGGCCGTAGAAAGCGACTACGATGGACAGCGCCGGAAGGAGCC